TTATCGGCAAGAGACGAATTATTTAAACAAATACAATCTACAGAGACGACGGAGTCCAATTCGATCGGTGCGGCATCAAAAAGGGTGTTTAATAAAATGTTTGCTAACTCTTCCCCTCTTAAAGGAACGATCGTTGTCGACCGTTAGTCTAAAAGCAAAGAATTCCAGTAATCCTAGCTGTTGGAGTTTTGCAAGATTCCTTTTGATTAAAAACAATTTTCATAAATGGCAGTGAAATATCAACCGTAATTCCGTAATTCGTTTAAAGAGAAGATGAAAACGGTGAATATGGTGCGAATGGCTAAAGTGTAGTAAATAATACAGTAGATAATACAAATGACTTGGTATTGTTTAAAAACTTGCACATGAGGTTATCTCTGACAAATTTCCTGACAACTTTCCGGACCATAAATCGACGAAAACAACAACCCTTTGCTGCAAACAGGAATCCGGATCCGTGGGCACCTATCGTTAATTCAAATTTAGAAACAAGACGGAGACAGTGGCATCGTGTCCATTCTTGTCAAAAAAAAATAAATGGTTAAGCTAAATTTAAAAACTTAGCTTTGGATATCTACTGAAACCTTTTTAAAAATTTTCATTTACAAACAAAGCATAAACCAATGTATAAATAGAACAATTCCTGACTGAATATTTTCATACATTTTCTCAAAGCCATAATCGGTGTTTAAATCGTTAAACCCAAAATTAAGCGAACGCAGAGAATAAGGAAAAGTCTAAGCAATAATGAAAATAAATTCTTAGTAAATAAATAATGTAACTAGCTAAGACGATAAAAAGGATAAAAATTAAAGTTAAAAGTGCTTGGCTAAAAATGCTTGGCTAAGCGGTATACTCCACCGCTGAAGCAGAGTATGGGTCGGTGTGCGTCCGAGTAATAGTAGGGGAACAGGGAATTTACACTGACGGACTAGGAAGAGACCAGCGAATAGCGAACAGTACAGACAACAGACCTCATAGACGGACTTAACCCGTGGGCCCCGTCACACCGTGTGAACTCATTAAGAGATTGTCTAGACCCTCCTTTTTTTTTCTTATTTTCATCTTAAATTTTTATTGTCATGAATATTTTGTGACCGCTGTACGTCGCAAAGAGCTATGCCGTTATCGATAACAAAACTTTGTCACGGTACTAGCCCCTTTGTTGCCGGTAGAGCGTTTTTTTATTGAAAGGGGTTTGGCTCCCTGAGCCTCATGACAAAGAATACAACAAAAAAAAAAAAGAAAAGGCCTCGTCGGTTGTCTACCGTCCGTCTGTCCACCGTGAGTCAGTCTGTCACCGTCTGGAGTCCTCCCTACAGTGCCATCATATGCACACCCTCTTCATCTCATCTACAGCGGTGGCAGCTCGAGCTTAGCCACTCATCGGGGACAAAAAAAGGAATTAAATAAACTAAGATGACTTACAATACAATGCAATCGGTGCTGGTGTAGTGTCTGCTGCGGTGACTGTTTCCTTCGGCAATACCTCCTCCTTACAGCCTCTTGCTCTTATTCGCCCCTTTTCCTCCTCCTCTTTACTTTGTTAAGTTGCTCCTTAGCGTAACCCGAAGCGATTGTTCCGATGAATTTCTATCACTGCTGAATGTCATTCTTTTGATGAAAATCTTTCACATCCAATGAAATTCGGTTTTAAATGTGGTTTCTAAATATTCTTGTTATCGACTCTTCACATTTACTTATTATTCTTATTCTTTCACGGTCTAGTCCTTTTATTAAGCATGAATTATTTGGCTATGATAACTAAACTACCAGGCGAATGAAAGAACATACAACACCATCGATATTGTCTATATTTAATATTTCTTTTTTTTTTTCATTCGTAGCAACGTTTTCACGGTAAATTTCGGAAAAAGTTCAATGTGTGCCCCTTTAGTCTGTAGTAAGTTGAATAATGTTTTCCTTTTTTCTTAAAAAAACGTCGTCTATATTATAGTTTGTTATATGAATGCTGGACCCCGGGTTGTGTTTCCGTTGGGCGCCACTTTGTCAGTGCGACCAACGTTTATTGAGATTTTTGATAATAAGAATGTAAACTTGTTACACCCAATAAAGAAAAGGAAATTAATATCTATTTGTTCGGATTGCGCTGGGCGCCACTTTGTCAGTGCTATAGCGACCAACGTTAATCAGTAAAAGAAAATTAGCATAATAGGTCGAAATTTCGTTGGGCGCCACTTTGTCACGCGACCAACTTATTAATCACTAAAAAACATTTTATACTATGTCCGCGTTTTCGTTGGGCGCCACTTTGTCAGTGCGACCAACGTTAATCAAAAAAAAATTAGGAAAGATTTTTTTTTCCATAATAGGTCGAATTCCGTTGGGCGTTCCTTTGTCAGCCAACGTTTATCGAAAATGATAATCAAAACTTACCAAAGAAAAATCTGGTAGTTCGGTTTTCGTTGGGCGCCACTTTGTCAGTGCGACCAACGTTGATCAATAAAAGAAAAAAAAAATTCTCCCTTTTTTCCTTTAGTTAATTTAGAAATTATTATAAAATTTTCATGCGGTTTCGCTTTGCGTTGGGCGCCACTTTGTCATGCGACCAACGTTAATCAATAAAAGAATTAGGAAAGATTTTTTTTTTTTTTTCATAATAGGTCTTACTTCGTTGGGCGCCACTTTGTCACGGTATTACTATGGCGACCAACTTATTAATCTATAAAAAGAAATTTCCTCTTTCTCTTTTTTTTTTATTTAATTTAAAGTTATTATAATAGGTAGCTTTACGTTGGGCGCCACTTTGTCACGCGACCAACGTTAATCAATAAACGAAAAATTTTTATATTTTTAATTTTTTTCTTCTTATTTAACTAAACATTCCGCTCCAGATGGTCTTCTTTTCATACCAAAAACATTTCTCTTTCTCATCAATCGCTTTGCTTTCTTAGCCTCCACCAAACACACTTCTTTCTTTTTCTCAGCACCACCACTCAATAAAAACTCTTTTTCTCTTTGCTTAGCGGCAAACCGCTATTCTTACAATATGTGATTTCGAATAACGGCAGGCAGTTATTACGATCTTACTTACTCTATTGTGATAGAGTAGTGGTCAAAGCAGACCGACAGAACCTCTACGCTACATTTGCACGCGGACTTTACAAGCGTTTAAATTGATGCATATAGACGCAAAGGAGGTATGTTGGATTTCACAAAAACATCAAATACTTGCGTTAAGAATGAGTTTTAAAAAGCATTTACAAAATATCCATTGTATGAGTTTCGTGGGACTGGGTAAGCATCATCGCCAAGATTTAGGATACTTGCCTTTTATTAAAGTTTCCTTCCGCTTACCAAGAGAGAAAACAAAACCACTGCTTTGCATTTGTTTGAATGAAGTTGGAGTGGAATAATATTTTAAAGCTGATAGAGTAAGATTATATTTTAAAGTTGCTAGTTTGATGAGTGCCTTGTGTTAATTGGTGGACCATGTTAAAAAACAGTTGCTTTTTTGACATTTAAATGATCCGGTTGGATGCTATTTGATGATGTTAAGGTTAAGCTAGAGTTGTGGACTTTAGCTTTGCTCTCCACTGAATGGTCATTTGAAGTTGATTGCTTTTTTTTTGAGGATTGTTGTGGTCCTGCTAGAGGGTGAAAGTTTTATTTCTTGATATCTTGGACGAGCTTCCCTACAGTTTTCTCAGAAGTTTTCAGTTCGATTTCTATATTTCGCATTTGTAAATATTTAAGGCAGTTTCTATCTAGAGTCGAGCGATGTTCGTGGTAGTTGACTCAGGAGGTATGACAAAAACTTCGTCCGCATTTGCCACATGGTCGTTCCTTCTTGAATCTTTTTACTGTGTGCCCTAAGTGTTGGTTATTTTTTAACTTATAGGACTTGGGACACGTTCCGAAACAAGTCGAACTACCATTTGTTGCTTTTGCTTTATTTATTTACATTTTATTATGTCCCCTGATTCTTCCTCAAATTCTATCTGATGAAATTTAGACTCGATATCCAGCAAAGGAAGAATCAACACGCGGCTAAGGAGACCTGTCGCTTAACGGATTTTTTGTAATTCCACGGCTAATCTAATCTAATAGAATTCCGTAGTTCTTGGTTTGTTGCTTTTTAATCTAAACTTCTGTCTATCAAAACTATTAACTGAGATATTTTCTGATTCCAATGCAAAAATATCTATATAACTCTGTAATATAGAGCTAACGTATAAACACTTGGAAATTCTTTCTATACTTTGATAATTAATTGGTATTGTGGCATTTCCATATGGAGTTTTTGCTCGTCTTATTATCACACATTTGGAATTATAGATAGCTGGGTTTAAGCTGAGGTTGTTAAATTATTTGCAAGGTTGTTTGATCATTATCTGCTAAGATAGTTGCATCGTCTGCCTATCTAACGCCTGCTTCGATTGTTTAAATAATTTCTTAAAAAATTTCCTCAGGGCGAACCCAGTTGTTTATAGGGATGTAATTTGTTCTGAAATTATTATCAGGGGCTTCTGCTGTTTACCTCAAATACGAATTTTTAATGCTAACTACTCTAGTCATTCAAACGCTTCTTTATAATTTATGAGACAAAGAAAAACGTTTTGTTTGTTCTGGACTAGATCCTGAATGCAGAATAAAGTTGCTCTGGTGCCCACACCTTTTCCGGAAGCAAACTGAGAACAGCCAAGTGATGAATAGAATTTACCATAGAGCCTCCGCTGAATTATTTTACTATTCTATAATCCTGACATCTCTTGGCATTGCTTTCCTTTCAACTTGTGATGTATGATGAATTTAACAACTCATCAGGATTCAAATTTTATTGTACCGACTAATGTCCATTCATTATTACGGATATTGTAGCGTTCTATGCCCAATGCATAAATACCTATCGCTGCTATCAGCTGAGAAACGATACCAATTGGACATCGGTTATTTTCGCTTATTCGCTTCTTTGTCAAGCCGTTCGCAATCGTTTTTTCCAATGGCAAA